CATATATGCACATATGTATACACACATATTTACATATATCTACATATATATGTAAAATTATTCTATGCATACTTCTATTTATCAGTTCTTTCCCTGAATGCAGATAGCATCTTTCTTATCCCTCTGTCTTTCAATATATGCCTAATATACTGCTATCTTTAGGAAAAGGGTATACATAGTTTAGCAACTTCTCCAGTATAAATCCAAATTGTTTTCCAGAAGGGTTATCTTCACCAATTGTCTTTTATGGTGCTCATTTTTCAATAGCTCTTCCAGCATTTACCATTTTTATTTTTTGTCCTTTCCCCCCCAATACAGTGGATATGAGGTAAAACCTTAGTGTCATTTTACTTTGTATTTCTTTTACTAGTGGTTTGAAGCATTCCTTCACATGGTTTTTGAATTTTTCATCTGTAGATTTCATTCTAAACTATGAACACTTATAGCAGGGTATTGCCCTAGGAACTAGAGAGTGTTATAGAGAACATTGTTGCTTCCTGTCACAGCAATCACGTAAACAAGATGTGTACTCATTTCTTCTTCCTCTTCACCTCTGTTGACCAGTCTGGAGTCTTTTCCCTCTGTAAGTTTCCTGTCTTCCTTTAAAACTGAATATGCTATTTTGGAGAACAATTTGGAACTATGCCCAAAGGGCAATAGCACTTCTAGGGCTATATCCCAAAGAGATCACACAAATGTGAAAAGGACCCACATGTACAAAAATATTCATAGCAGCTCTTTTTGTGGTGGCAGAGAATTGGAAATTGAGAGGATTCCCATCAATTGGGGAATGGCTGAGCAAGTTGTGGTATATGAATGTAATGGAATACTATTGTGCTATAAGAAATGATGAACAGGCTGACTTCAGAAAAACCTGGAAAGACTTGTATGGTCTGATGCTGAGTGAAATGAGCAGAACCAAGAGAACGTTGTACACAATAACAGCCATGTTGTGCGATGACTAATATTAATAAACTTAACCCTTCCCAGCAATACAAGGATCTAAGACATTTCCAGAGGCCTCATGATGGAAAATGCCATCCACATCCAAAGAAAGAACTATGAAAGTTGAATTGCTATTTTTTTCTCTTCTGTTGAGTTTTGTTTCCTCTTTCTGATGGTTCCTCCTACTGGTTTTAATTTTTACTTACAACACCACTAATGTGAAAATATGCTTAATAGGAAAGTAAATGTATAGCCTATATCAGATGTGCACCATCTTGGGGAAGGTGGTGGGGAGGAAGGGGGAGAAAAATTTTAAACTCAAAAACATATGGAAGTGATCATTGATAAATCAAAATAAATAAATAAAATTTTTTAAAAAAAGAAAAAAACCTGAATATGTTCAAACTTCATACAGACTTCTGGGGGATATAGGTCCCAAAGAGAACATGGAGAAAAAAAATCCTTCCTCACCTCTTAACATTTTAAACATTTATTATATATTTTGTTTTTATATCTCAAAATTGTGCTTTTAGCTTTTTTTTTTTTTGCCTTTTGATGAGGCAATTGGGGTTAAGTGACTTGCCCAAGGTCACACAGCTAGTGCTATGTGTCCAAGGCCAGATTTGAACTCAGGTCCTCCTGATTCCAGGGCTGATACTCTATCTACTGCACCACCTAGCTGCCCCACTTTTAGCTTTTAATAAGCAATTTTAATATGTCCTGATATTTTTATGGAGAAAATAGAGAAAAAAGAGAAAAAGTCTTTTTTTTCCCCTTGTTATTTCTGTCCCCTGTACAGTGGGATGGCATATAGTGCCTGGCACATAGTACTGGATAAATGTTTGTTGCCTCCTTGCCTGCCTTAAAGAGCACATGTTACAAACAGATAACTCTCAGCTCTTGATTGCAGGAAGTCTTTTTCTCATTTACATGGGGTCTTCAATAAATTCTACACTCTGGCCAAATTGCCCCTCTTTCTCTTCCTCACATGTGGCACTCCATCTCTCAGCCTGATGCTCTTGCACTGTCTGTGGTCTATGCTTGGAATGTGCTACCTCCTCATGTCTGGCTCTTATAATCCTTCTCTCCTTTCAAGAAGAAAAGTCTATATGTACAGGAAACCTTTCCTAATGCCTGCAATTGCTAGTGTCCTCTACAATTATCTTTTATTTAACTATTTTGTGTTATTCTTTATATATAATATATACACAACACACACACACACACACACACACACACACACACACACACACACACACATAAGGTGTTTCCCCGATCCTTATAAGATCTTTGAGAGTAGGGATGGTTTCATTTTTTGTCTCTGTTTTCCCAGTACCTAGCACAATATCATATACATACCATATGTTTAATAAATGTTTATTGATTGATTTCTACAAAAGTCATTTCATCTCTCTGAGCTTACATTTTCTCACATGAAAAGGTTAAATTTTATTCTTAATCTAGATCCACTAAAACTCTTAAGCTTTTATGACTCACTGACCCTCTCCTATTAAGTACCATTCATACAGTACTCTGTGTCCTACCCTGTACTAAACACTATTGGATTGCAAAGCTTGTATGACATAATTCCTATCTTAGAGAAGGATCTCAAACAAACAAGCCTTTGAGAGAAACAGAAACCAGACTATTCTCAGAACCTGAGGACTGAACAAACTGTTGAGCAACATCCTGGAGAGTCAGCCACGTTCATTTTCATTTCCTAGTTCCAAGAAATTCTATGGATTCTAAGTAACAAGAGCAGCCTCCTCCTTTTTCTTTTGGTGCCATGAAAAGACCTATGCCAATGCTCAAACACTGGGGATGGGAAGTTGGAAAGAGGAATACCTTACTGTATATTTTCCATTTTTTGTTAGGGTTACAGTCTAAGTAGCCCACAGGAGCTGCTATTCCCACAAGAACAATTTTAGGTCTCCCTTAACTAAAATTCAGGAAGTTGGGCTAAATTCTGAAGTCTCTTCTGGACCTAACATTTTACAATTCTATCATTCTATTTCATCAGAGTTCTGTATGTTCTGACTCAAGGTCAAAATTTATCCCTCCCACACCTCCACTATCCTCTCAAAAATTGTGCCATCATATGTTACTTTAAAAAATATTTTTATTCTGAACTTAATAAATACCAAATAAAGTAGACATTTCCTAGTAGGATATAAAAAAAAATCAACAAAAACATCAGGCTCAGCAGAGGCCGTAAGAGACATGTTTGTTGATAAAGTCATGGCATCCTCCTGATCCCTGAGCTGTTATCCAGAAATTTTCCTTTCAAATATTTCAAGTCAAAATAGCTTTGGCTGGGATTTATCAAATCTTTCATATCTATTCCATAAACATTTTTTCTAAGTTTCTGGAGAACTACAAAAAGGGGTTCTTTCACTATGGAGCTCATAGCACATTGGGAGAGATGACATATGAACATATAATTGTAATACAAGATAATTCATGATGAGTACCACAGAACGGTTCAAACAAAATGCTACATGATGCCTGGTGGAGTGTGGGGGGAGTTGGAGTGATTAGGGAGAAATGGCTTCCTGGGGAAGATGGCTTCTGAGTTGGATTTTAATGGAAATTCTATAGCCACTTAATTTCCAGATTTGTCCCTTCATTCCCTCCAACCAACTTTAACAAATGTTGTCTACTCTGTGCAGAACACTAAATTAGGTTTTAAGGAAGATTCAAAAATTAAGGCTCCCTGCCCTCTGGTGGGGTAGTGCTTTGAGGCAGATATTCCTTCCCAGCATTTCTTGAGAAATTGATGTTTTTCTGAATCCTCAATCCCAAGAAAAACCAGCTGAGAAATTGGAAAGTATTATAATTCTCCTGCAAGAATCAAAGGTTAACAATTATCGTACAAACATTTTTTGATTTGAAGGAACCAACTGATACCACGTTGAAGCAAGAGCAGGAAATGCTGACATGCAGAGTCAAAGGTTATGGTTGACATTTCTGGGAACCAGGAAGGAAGTGGAGAGAAGAGAAGACAGAACAGGAGTGGTCATGATCTAATCAGTCTGTCATAAGTATGTGCTTGTGGCCCTATCTTTAGCAAGGAATGAGTCATTCTTGCCAATAAAATAAATATTAATAAGTTTATATGCATAACATACTTTACATACCACTACCACATATAAAGTATACTATAGTACACTTTATATTTGAGAGATGTTAAAACCTGGGGGCTCTTGTAAAAGCAGCCAGCAAAACTTCTGGGCTGCAAATCAGATTAAAACGTAATTAATTGGGAAATGTTTAACAAAATAAATAAAAATACTACAACAACATAGATAATGTCAATTTGTAGTTTTCTAAGTCAATATGCTTCTGTTTGAATTTGATGTCACCACTTTATATAAGCCATCATAAGGGGTATTCTAAGACATAAAAAGTTTTGGAAGTAAAATAAGTCCTTAAATTGGCAATTTTGACTGGTGATTCTGAGATCTGAATGTTATGTTGTTCAAATATGACCCAATAGTGTTCCAGTGTTTGAATATTTGCTATAGGCTACAGCTCTTTGTAAATACTACTAAACTTAACATTTCTTATTTATTAAACAAGTTTTTTTAGATATCTGTAATAATGAGTAAATAGTATAACAAATGTTGGAGGTATTTTGAGATAAAGGAAATCAGCTGATTGCTAGATATGTTTTAAATAACTGTCACAGTATATTGTATTAATAATAAAGCATGCATTTATTATTATTATTTTTAACAGAAAGCCACTGAAACTTTTATCATATCCCTATCACAGAAAAAAGATTTACTATTTTTTTATTATGGTCACTCATTAATTTGAAAACATAAATAAAATGTTGTGAAAAATAAAGAATAACTTATGATTATGGGAATTCTCAGGAATCCTGATTTTTCATCCCCAAATCCCAAAGATTATCTGTCAGAAATGTGGAAACACTAGGCATTAGGATGCAACACACATACAAATGGTTGAAATGAAAAGTGATGCAAGATAAATCCGTATGAAAGGTGTAAGGCAAGAGCTATAGGATACCGGAGCTCTTTTTTCATTCCCTTCTATTGTCAGCCAGCTTTTCAAGAGATCAGGGCTGGTTTTTCCTGCTCCCAAGGATAAGATCTGGGGCTTTTGTGGATGTGTGGCCAAGAAATCCTGGAGGATGAGAACAATAATCACTGACATTCATCTTGTACCTAGGAGTTTCTAACTCCCCACTTTCTCCCTTATTCCATACAAAGAGAGCTGTTTCTCATTTGTCACCTCCAACTGTCAGTCTGTCTTTCCCCTAATTCCTACTTAGCTCTTAAAATTACTGTAATACTACCTGACCTCTTATCTGGCTCTGCAAGAGACTGTAACAGTCCCTATAAGAAATACATTGAAAAGAGAGATTACAAAGAGAGCACTGTTGACTGTGGAGACAGAAGTTTTAGTAGAATGATGGGGTCTAAACCAGATTACAAGGGGTTGTGAAGTGAGTGGCAGGTGAGGAACCGAAGGCAACAAATTTATATGGCTTTTTCTAAGAGTTTAGATGTGAAAGTGAGGAGAGATGTAGGATTGATAGTTTTAGGGTAGTGATTCTTAAACTCCACCCCTCCCTGAAGTCTGGTGAAGCCTATAGACCCCTTCTCAGGATATTTTTAAATGCATAAAACAAAATATATAACATTACAAAGAAAATAAATTATAGTGAAACAAAAGATGTATTTTTTTTCCCATTCAAGTTCATGGACTGCCTGAAATGTATCCATGGATCCTTAGGAGCCAGGTTCAAAACCCCTGCTTAAAAGGGTTACAGGATCAAATTAAGGTTTTTTTTAAAGGATGGTTCCAGAGAATAATTCTCTTTTCCTGAAATACAGCTGACACTGTTGATTTCACATCTTTACTAGCTTCTTTCCCCTTTCCAAGATTCTTATTCCTATACTCAAAATATCTGACTTAAGCTTGTAATTTTTCCCCTTTCCTTATCCCTAAGAAGTTCCATGGTGTCTTTTTTACTGTCAATCACTGATATTTCCTCTAGAGCCCAAGCTCTCATTCTGTTGTCCTTTCTTCATATCCTTTCAATCCCCATCCCACTATAGCAACTTTAAAGTTTGCCTCCTCTTCCCTTCACCATCCCTCCTCTGCAACATTTCTCCTTGCCCAGCTAGGAAATCTTTTGTGTCAGTTGAACCATGGGCCTGCTTGACCCAGGAGGAACAGGAAAGGAGTTAGATTATGCAGGCAGTTATAGGCCAGGGAGGAGACAGAGTGGGGAGGACAGAAGAAAGTGAATCTTTCTTTAAAGAACTGATCAAAATTAAAAGCTGTATGATAAAGTAACTTCTATCTCCAGTAGGCAACTGAAGCTCAGAGCCTGAAGGTGGTCCTTCCACCCCTCATCAAGGGGTCAGTGGAGTTTCCTATAAAGGATTAGGCCACTCTTTGGGACAGTGACTCCCTCAGCTCCAGTGAATGCTGGGCAAATGACCAAAGGGTTATCATCAGACCCAAGCCTGAAGAAAGGCCTGATGGGTCCAGAAAAAGAGGTTCGAGGGCAAGTATAGATGTGGGATCTGTCAATCATATTGTAGAAAGAGACATCTCCAGCCTCATAGTCCAAGAAAATTCCCACTCGGTCTAGGTGCTCAGGCAGAGGGAGGAGAATATCAGGAGAGGTAAGGGCCTGGTATCTACCTCCAAACAACTCAATAACCCAGAATCCATTTTGGGGTATCAGAAGGGCCTCCCCCTTTCGCTCAGAATTTTCACTGCAGACTCCAAGGGCCCAAACCATAACATCTGCTACCTCCACTTCCCAGTAATGTCTCCCTGAGGTGAAGCTCTCGCGACCAAGAACACAGGGTCTACAGTCAAATCTCTCTGGATTGTCAGGCAGATCTTGCCGTGTGTCCCCTCGCATCACACTCCTCAAATCCGAAGAGAGGTAGAGTTCAGGATGAGCTGTGTTTCGATCCAGAGTCACATCAGCTAAAGGGAGAATTCCAGATTCAGTTTTTGAGGTCTTAGAGCCCTGGCTGTGGAATCTTCAGAGCATATTTAGTACCTAAAAGACACTAAGGGAGGAGAGGAGAGTTGTAGAGGATTCCTTGTGCACTTTTTCTTTGGGATCTCATTCTTTTTTGATGTTTCATAGTGTACCAATCATAGCTTCCTCCCTTTCACTACCCAAATGAGAGAAACTGTACATTATGGGAACCAATCATTAGAGATACCCCATCCTTAGAGAAGGGGCTTAGGCACTAAGGCTGCCAGAGAAATTTATCAGCATAATATTTACCCCTTTTCTACTCTTATTTTTATTCTCCATTTTCACAATCTACTTCCAATACAAAATCTAATGACACTATTCTTATGCTAGTTCTGAATTAGAGATCTTCCTCTGCCATGTAACACACAGGAGCCAAATTTCCTCATTTTCAGACACAATCATTCTTGTGGTACACGCCATTTTATCCTATGAGCAGGGTCAGATCTGCAGGTATACAAGACCCCTGCATTTTAGAGCTAGAAAAGACTTTAGAGGTCCTCTAGTCCAAACCCTTCATTTTATAGATGAGGAACTGGGCCCATATTTAATTTAATTGAAATGTGGAAGGACATAGTTGGTAGGCAAATAATCCCAGGTTCCCTAGTTGTCATTCATTCTATGTATAAACATCTTTTTTTTTTTGTGGTGTGTACATTAGTTATTCTAGCTACCTCTTTATCTTGCCTCCCAGAGCCACTTCAGTCATCTGGTCACCTTAGCAGTAGTACAGGCTCTTCAAGGGACCCCAATTTGTCATGCTTTAGGGACTATCATCACAAAAGGCAATTCAACCATTGTTATTTTTAAATGGTCCTATTTGGCTCTAAATCCCTTCATTCTAGGAAGTGTTTACATGTTTTAAGGGCAAGTTTTTCTCCTTCCTCAAAGAAAAAGTGAAAGGATTTGAGAAACACCTCTGCATGCACAAGGTTATCAGGCACTTTTTTTTAAATGGAAGCAATCTTTGTATGTGATATAAGGGAAATACTAGCTGTTGCTGGTGATTGCTATTGGGAAGAACACATCAGAATTGAGATGATAGCATTAGAAAGATATCCCAACTCCTTAGGTGTACCCTTAGAACCCTGAGGGGAAATGTGCAACAACGCTCTGGGCTACCTGACTCATCAGTGTGAATGTGAGTTGGCATAGAACCTTAGGGCTTACATCAGCTCCATTCATCTACATATATTTGTATGTGTTTCTTCCCTGACAGAATAGAAGCTCTTTGAGGGTTGAGACTATTTAACTTCTTTTTTTAAATTTCCAGTGACATGTAATTTAAAAAATTTCTAGCCTAGCACATAATTGGTGTTTAATAAACGATATTTATTGGGGAAAAAGAAAAGAAAACATAGAAACCAGATCAAGAAAACATAGTGGTATTTGGTTGAAGATCATTAGAAATAGAAACAAGTGATTTTGTCATTAGAAACAAGATTACAAACTACTTGAATGGAAAAAGGAAATAGATGAAGAATTAGGAAATAGATCACCAATCTGGTCCAGAGGCATGATATAGTAGTGATAGAAGACATTAATTATCTAGAAATCTAGTGAAGTTTCTCTCTATCATTTATCTTTTAAAAGGTGGAGGAACCAACAGGAGAAATTCTATTCTGGATCTGATTCTTACTAACAGGGAGGAACTGGTTACTGAAAGGGAGATGATGAGAAACTTGTGGGTTAACAGTAGTAACCTCTCCCTTGTAGAGTTTTGTTGCTGGAGAAGAGGAAATCTGGGCATAGTCTGAAGTGCTCCCCAGCTTTTGAGAAAGCAGATTTCAAAGGGTTCAGGGGAATGTCAAAGTAGGGCTAAGTCAGTTGGAAACTCTTACTATTGAAATTCTGAAGACACAAAGAGAAACAATCCCAGTGCTGTCTGAAAAGACTGCTCTGCATGCATAGGGAAATCAATCAAATTTTATTTTCAAAAGTTGTTTACAAAAGATGGGAAGCAAGAGCAGGTAACAGAGAATGAATATAAGAGAATGGCATGATCCTTAATATTAACACATATAAGGAGCTGGTAAAGAATAAAAGCAATAAGAAAAATTTTTTATTAAAGTTTTTTTTTTTAGCTATCTTGGGGTAAAGTCTCAAACAAGGGATAGGACTATCACTTGGGAAAATTGGGATTATGACAACTAACAAAAGAAAGAAGGCAGAGTTGTCTTAATTGTTATTTTGTTTTCCCTGTCAAGGAGAATGACCTTTGGATGGGAAAGGATGGAACAAGAAAAGGCTAAGAGGGAGCTGATACCCACTATAAATAAGTTAGAAGATAGTAAAAGAACACTTAGTTTCCCTTGATGATTCAAGTTACCTGACCAAGAGGAGCTATTTCCTTGAGCACTGAAAGAAGTGACAGACACAGTTGTGGAGTTATTATCAGTGATGTTTGAAAGTTTATGGAGAAGGAGTGAGATACCATAGAACTAGAGAAAGGCAAATGTTATTATGATTTCCAAAAAAGGGAAGAGAATAGTCTGAAAACTATAGGTCAAGTAATTTGATTTTAATTCCTGGAAAGTTTCTACAATAGATCAATAAAGAAGTGATTAGTGAGCATCGAGAAAAGGGAAGCAGTAATTACAAAGAATGAGGCCATGTCAAACTAACCTTATTTCCTTTTTTTTTTTGACAGAGTTATTAATCTTTTTATTAGAGGGAATGTTGTAGCTATAGCTTATCTAGTTTTTAGCAAAACAATTCCTAAAGTGGCTCATAATTTCGATTCCTGTGGAATGGATGGAAAGATGTGAACTAGATAATACTATAATTAGATGCATCCTGAACTCACTGAATGGCTGAACTAAAAGAATATTAATATCATCTTGACAGGAGGTCTACAGTGGAATGCTCTAGAAATCTGAAACAGCCTTATGCTGTTTAATATTTTTATATTTGTATAAAATGATCACAAATACAGATGAAACAACTGGGAGAAATGGTAACACAATGGATGAGAGTCAGGATCCAAAAAGATTTAGAAAGGCTAGATCATTAAGTGGCATCTAATGAGATGAAATTCAAGAGAGTTAAATGTAAAATCTTATTCTTGGGTTAAAAAATCATTGTTACTAGTCCTAGATGAGATAGTCAGCAGTTTGCCTGAAAAAGATCTGGGAGTTTTAGTGGACTGGAGTCTTAACACAAGTCAGCAGTATTATGTGGCAGCCAAAAAAAGCTAATGTAATCTTAAGAGAAGTATAGCTACAGGAAGGAGGAGGTGAACCAGAAGCAAAGGGTGGATATCACGAGGAGGCAAATTTAGGCACTAATAATGAGTGCTATCCACATGGAGCATGTTGCCTTGAGAGGAATTAGAATCCCTTTCATTGGAGATGTTTAAGTAGAACATGGATGATCATTTGCTAGGTGTGTCATAGAGGGGATTCCTTTCAGGTATGAATTAGACTAGATGGCAACTAAGGAATTTTCCATTTTACAGAGTATCATGGCAGGGGATGCAAGGTATTACCCAGAGAAAAGTTCTGGGGGTAACAATAATGACTTTGTTAATCAAAATATGGAAGATAACTGGTTCAGTGGCTTGAGATTCTTTCTTCCAATCAGCCTACCCCAGCCATTATATTTAAAAATAACAGAGAAGCCAGTGAAATTACTGGAGAACTGGCTGGTGAGGCTCAATGATTCCTCCAAATCATTCTATGGTAGTCCCAGGAATTGCTTAATTGTATAGAGACAGACTTTCACCACTTTCACTCAAACATTGTTATTTAACTTGCCCTCTAGTTGACTGTCTGTTCCTCTTTTCTGCCCTGTCCTTTATTGTGAGGTGGAGGTATCATGAGGAGTGGGAAAGGAGAGATCTTAGACTGACAGAGAACAGAAGTGCCACTCACCAGCATGTAACTGAGTTCTTCTCCATCCTGCAATGGACAAACAGAAAGATGAGAACTCTTTATGTAATTACTATATGAGAAGCATAGAAATTGTCCATGAGAGTAATGAGATAATGAGGAGAATGCTGAACTTGCTGAACTCTTCCTTGAGTTTCTCTGAAAAGAAGTAGAAATAAACCAATGGCTCTCTAGAGAGAAAAATTTACAGAATCTGTTTCTGGAATAGATAATAGAAAAGAATCTCTTTATGAAAGTCCTCAGATGGTCTAGGTACTGCCAAGGAGCCAAGAATAATGAAGCATCATCTAAATTGATATCAGCATCTTCAATTACTCAGATATTTAGGTTCTACATGACATTTTTGCTTTTGGTCAACTAAAAGGAAAGTTTAGAGGTATAAGGTGATGGAGCTTTGGAGGATTTATGATACACAGTTTTGACCCTTTCTGTTTCCAGTTCATTCCTCTCCAGCACCCCATGTCAAAAGTTGAGATTCTTTTTGTTCCCAAAGTGTCATCTTTGCTTTTTTTTTTACCTGTCAGGTTGCATTCTCTTTCTTTTCCCGTATGTTCTTGCCCCTTTTTATCAAATTCTCTCTCTTTTTCTTCACATTCAATTTCTTTTTCTATAAATAGTGTCTTTTTCCTCTTGTGTTGTTTCCACATGAAATAAATACTAAAAGCAATAAAAAGTCCAAGAGCAGGCAAGGCCACAGTGAGAATAATCATCCAGGTAGAGACCTTTTCAGGTACAGGAGTTGTTGGGTCTAGGAACTCGGAAGGGCTCTCAGAGGGCATGGAAGTCGAGACCCAAACAGTTTCTATGGCAAAGGACATAAAGAAGACCAGGTTAAACCAGCCAACACATACCAAGATCTCTTTTATAAATCTGAAAAGAGAAGATTCTTTCAGATTGTGATCTCTCTCAAAGAAGGAAAAGGAAGAGTTATGTATGTGGTTGAAATTTTCCTCTATCCCCTTCTTTTCCTAGAATTTGGAATTCCAAATTCCAAATTTGGAATTTTTTGTTCCAAAATAAAATGCAGATGAAACCTAGAGGAGTGTTGCTTTCCTACATGCCTCCTCCTTGCTTTCCAAATTTAATTCTGGTTTTAGCAAACGATTGTTTATATTAGTATCTGCTCAGTGGAGAATTTCCAGGCCATATTTCTTGGAAAATGTCTCATACAGAGTAAGTATTTCACCCTAGAAGTGACACTAATGCGCCTCAGGGCACTGACCACAAGTGCACTGGCAAAAATTAAGAGCACTTGCTACTTAAATTGACTGCCTTTTCTATTTTTCAAGAATTGGACACATAATAGTTGTCATCCAGGAGAAACATTTAGCAGCAAGTGTCATGTGAAAGTTCCCATTTGGCAGGGAGTGAGGGAAGAGGATATTAATTTCTCTTCTCTACTGGGAGCTTTCAGGTGTCAAGCAATAGATAAAGAAGAGTATCTTTAAATTCCTGATCTCGTTTCTAACCAAGTGGTCCCCAAAGTAGGGGTTGTGCTATGACCAGATGACATTTAACAAGAGAGTGGGAAGATGGATCTACATACTGTGATAGTCAACAGTGGGGCTTATCTCCAGCATAACCGCAGCTACCTTTCACAATAGCCCTATACCTCCCCACTCTATCTCTTTCCACACTGTGCAAGTTCCCAACTTTTTCCTCCCAAGGACTTTCAAGGCAATTATGACCTAGTAACTGCCACCCAGGCACCAAAAGCAGTAGCTGGAAACTGCTTTGCCTACTGTTAGGCCCTCCCTTCCCCCATCACTTCATAACCAGGTATATGTGCTCAAAACATTTTTAGTGATCAAAAAAGTTTAGAGACTTTATCCCCATAGCCTAGAGGTGCTAGGACTTTTCCTTTGGATATTCCCTTCATGGTTCTCCTATGGCTACAACGACCATGACTCAGCAAGGAGAATCTAAAGCTGAGAACTGACCTGGTATAGACATCATTGTCAACAACTCCTGGCTGAGAAGGAGGTTTTGTATGGAACAGAACACACTAACCACTGTGGGATCTGTGATAATCACAGACAACGTCACAACAAACAGCCCGTCTTCACTGGGAGCCAGACTTTCCTCCAAGGATGGAATCGTCTCTTCTACAAGATTTCTCCACTCTACCCAAGGCTGCGGGTACCATCCTGCTGATGTACATTCTAGTTGTATCCATCCATATTCATAACCTATAATTTTAATGAAGGGATCTGAGCCCATACCTGGGGAAGAAAATATTGCTTGAATAGGGTCATTCTTGAATAAGGATATCCAAGATGGTTTACTCCATCTACTGTAGTCAACACTAGCAGAGCTGATCAGGGGGAACTGTGTCCTTAAGTTGGGAAATTGGATTGCAGTCTTGCCAAGGCTGAGTATCATATCTTACACTTTTATATTCTCAAAAGATCTAGAACAAAAATTGTCCACTGATTTATTTTTATTGCTATTTTGGTGATTTTTCATGTTACATTCTAATTTTTGGATGGATATAAACCATTCAAAATTATGGCAAACAGGTTTGGGCATTAAATAATATGTAAGAAACAGAGAAATCAATGAATAATAATAATTTTAATTTATACAGCAACTTTACACTCCTTATCTCTTTAGATCCTTATAACAAGTATGTGATATAGGCAATACAGATATTATTATTATTTTCATTGTACAGATGAAAAAACTGAAGGACTTTCAGATACATGCATAGTTAGAGATCACAATGAGGGGGGTCTATATCCTTAATAAGTCTCTCAGAGACAGAAGAGGAAGAAGAAGAAAAGTTATCAGCATTACCAGAAGCCTTAAAACAAACAAAATTTGGTTTTCAGAAAAGGAATGTGAACAAAGAAAAGAAAAATTGTCTTGGTTTACTGCCTCCCCCCTTACCCCCCAGCCATTCATCCAGCGCCTTATTTTCACTCTTATAACTTACCATATCATTTATGGTGCCACAAATATATGAAATTCTTTTGTAGAAGTGAGGCTATATGATACATCAAATTAATATTATTGTTAGGATTACTGTTGTTATTATTATTAATGCTATTACTAGTGCTAAATGCATACTTAAAACTACAAGTACAAGCCCCTTTCAAGGCTATTCATTTCTTAAGCAGGAGAAACTGTTGTATCAACTATGGCTTATTTTAATCCTCTTTTGTTTGCAAGTCAAGAATTAATTGTCTTCTGGGAAGTACAGCTACTTGTAGCCTCATAAATTTGCTTGCCAAAGATTCAACAGACTTTCCCCTCCTTTTCTTGTAATTATTTTAAAAGGCTTTGATCCCTCTTCCCTCACTCTGCCTCTCTCACCTCCACTCTAAGACAACAGTCATTTCCAGTCCTTACTATTTAACTAAGCTAAGCATTGTGCCCTTTCTGAGATAATCACCATCCCTTAATGTCACTAACTGTATATAATTTTTAGGTCGATTACGAGCATTAGCCCACTAAAAGTTTTCTCCCTTATGCTCCTCACCCACCCTAGACAACATGTCCAAGGCCACTGAGAATCCTGAACATGTGCCAAGGCCAAGTTGTCTCAAAGATCAATTCTGAGTTTGAAAAAGACTGTCTATGGGTTAGGCATTGGTGCTCGGTCATCTGATACACAAAGAAGATTTAAATCTGAATCTTAAATCTGAAGATTTAAGAGCACTAAGCTCATGTTAGAAGTGGAGCTTTTTATCTAAATAAACAAAACCAACCCAGTTTAAAATGCATTGCTGGCAATGACTCATCCTTTAACCCTCACATAAATATCGATATTTGTATTGTTATGGAGAAAGCTTGTAGAGTAATAGAGGCTCTTCAGTTTCCCTCAGTTTGGAAGCACATGTCATACAGGCCACTGGCAACTTTTGTGCTTTGTGCCTTCACTCTTCGTCAGGGTGTAATTCAAATACTTCAGAGCTAATTTTTGGTATGCTGTTATTTTCATTTTAGTTTCTTAAAAATCATCTGTCACTATGGCTTTGAATTTTGATGATGATATGCCTGGGTGTTCATCCCTATTGACATGCTGTTGTAAGAGCCAACAAATGTGGAATTAAAAAAAATCAAACAAACAACTCAACCTTTTTCTATTAATAGTAAGAATTACTATTTCTCTAGTCTAAAACTCTTTCCAAATCTTTCACTTTAAGAAGTATGAAGAAGCAAGGCTAACATCTTCATTTGAAGTGGAGTAAGGGTAATAAACAAATGTAACTGGATAATATGAGTACTACTCTATCCCTGGAGCAATTGGTTCCAGAATTCACCTAAGGACAGCATCTGTCCTCTTTTGAAATCCAAGCTTAAGATACTGATCACAGCAAGAAACTCTTAGGGTAAAGTCTAGGAAGGAATTGAATGGTGACTATTCTGGAATGCTAACTCCAAAACATATGTTAATATATTATGATCTTTTCCTTATTGAAGATTCCTATAAATCTGCAATTTTCTTGAGGAAGAGAGTCATGTTGGAAGGCATAGTGGTCTTTCCCAATTTGGAAATCTCTCTCTCTTAGAGAGAGCTAGAAATGGGTTGAAAATTCACTTAATAAAATTGTTTCTTATAGACTTGAGCCTAAATCACAGAGTACATTATTAGTATTAACTTTTTCTGATACTGTGAATATTTTGATATGTAATCTTTTTCTTATTTTATTGCTGGGGATTTTTTGGTATGATTTCCTGAACTATCACATTAAGATTCAAAAGATCATAGATTTAGAACTGGGAGTAGACTATGTGGCACTTGAAGACCAGATCATTATTAGGTTTGCTGCAGGGAAAGATTTTCAGCTACAGCAGATAAACAAATAAACAAACCCAAAACTCTACTAAGGAATATAGGGGATGCAGTTTATGTTACTGGGGAAAGCACCTACACAGGTAAAAAAACTGAGTTTTAAAGCATCAGTAGGAAAACTATGATAGAACAGAAGAGTCAGTGTCACTCTAGATAGCTGGCTGTGGTTTAAAAAAAGTTATACATACTACAGAACAAAGTATATTAGTGTATAGGAAGGGGAAATATCACAAAAGTACAAGTGGGTTAAACTTGGAACTATCTATGAAGTTGAAGAATGAAAAAGAAAGCAATAAAAAGTGGAAATTAATCCTTACCATTAGAGAAGTGTGGCTGTGTGAGAACAAGAGAGCAGTGCAGAAGCTAGAAAAGAAAGGCAATGGACAAAAGATAAAAAAAAACCCCAAAACCCAACAGCAATAACCCAACTTCTGTCCTCAATATTTACATTGTTTTAGGCAAAGAGGTCTAGAGAAAATTTCACACTCACCTACATTTCCTAAATTGTCAGGGAAAAAATAAGTGAGGGCAGTGAAAATGTAGAAACTTTTAATGTCATCACTTTTATCTTTTCAGAAAATATCTTAAGTTTTACTGTTGTCTTTAGGGAGGTCCAGTTGTGGTGAGAGGATAGAAATAAAAATCCAAGTTGAGAATAACCATATGTATTGAAATTGGTGGGGTCTCCTTATGTGCTCCAAGAATTGATAGATGTTATTACAGATTGATTAACCATTAGTTTTGAGAAGTGAGGACAGGAATTTCTGAGGATTGGAATATGGCAAATGTTGCATCTATATGAATCAAAGGAAGAAAAAGACTAATCCTAGAGATTTCGCACTCCTCCCAATTCTAGATTTCTATTTAATTCCAAACTGGGAACATATTTGAATGTGTTTCTCAACAACCAGTTTGCAATCACCTGAAAGGGTAATTTTGTCAGATCAATTTTACATTCTTTGGTAATAAAGTGACAGGTCATAAAGATAAGGGTAAGCAATTGGTGTAACATCTATACAGCATGGCCCAGAACCCTCAGGTTTGAATTCACATGGATAGAGATTTCTCATAAATCCCTATTTGGCTTGTAATCTCCTTCCCACCCCAATCCTCAACAAGTTTTCTTCTTAGAGCCGCAGTATTTGGCCTGTTTTTTTCCTTACCAGGATCTCCCTAAGGATATCAGAATACAACTTAGATGTAGGTTTCCATAGATGTAGGTAAAGAGCTCTTGGCTCTCATAAAAGTGTTCAAACTATTAAGATAACAGGAATACCTTTATTTTACCTAGCCAAAAAAAAAGAAAAAAGAATGCAGAATCATGAAGGATTCATGAGCCTATAAACAGTCAAGGATAACTCTCCTAGATTCTGTCATCCGAGCCAAGTCAAGCCTGCTGACCTGACTTCTGAGTCACATTGAGGAAAGGTCAGAGAGCAAAACCAAGGAACTCACTTGTGACTTTCAAATCCATAAAGGCCTCTTCATATGATCTGCCTTCTTGAAAATAGCAGTGATACCTTCCATTTTCAAAAGCTGTGACATTGTGTATTTTCAGAGCAACATTTCCATCTCTGATATTATCTCTCACAAATGTTGTTCTTCCTCGATATTCTTCCATCTGTTCTTCATCTCTTTCTTTCCCATCTTTATAGACATAAACAGCTGGAGAGAACTGTGAACGGAACCACCTTACCTCCATTTGCTCAGCACTTTTCTTGGGGAAGAGGTGACAACGTAACGTGGCATCTTCCCCTATCATGGTCAGGGGAGGTTCAGCATGTGCAACCACAGTAAAATGAGCTGTTCAAGAAAGGGAGAGAGTTATAGAAAAGCTAGTGACAGGTAATTGGTGTTCGAGGTGTGTGGGGGATGGAGACTGAATAATATTTCAAGGGAAGAACAAATTCATTCCCATAATATTCTTTTTTTTTTTCCTTCGGTTAGGCAACGGGGTTAAGTGACTTGCCCAAGATCACACAGCTAGTAAGTGTTATGTGTCTAAGGCCAGATTTGAACTCAAGTCCTCTTGCATGCAGGGCTGATGCTCTATCCACTGTGCCACCTAGCTGCCCCCCATTCCCATAATATTCTTCCAGCTTCACGGACTTTCTGAAATGAGGGTGGCAATTACCTTCCACTTTTCTCCTGGGGAAAGAAGTGTGGATAGGAAATTATTTTTCCCTCCTGAGAAGTCTCCATGTTAGAAAAGAGAAACACCTACCTGAGATCCTCATGATCAGCTGAAGGAAGAGGACAGCTACAAGACCACTTAGCACAGAATGGTCTGGGAAATAGGCCATATTCATAATTTCTAAAGAAGACAATAACACCATTTTAACTGTGTGCTAAGTGCTGAGAAGAGATACAAAATTTACAGTAGATAAGACATAATCCTAATTCTGGAAAATATAATCGAGTAGGTAGATGAAATATCAATACATTGCAGCAATACACAAGTGTTTTAGAGAAATACGAAACAAAGTCCAGTATTAGGTCTATAAGGGAAGATCATTAACAACTTTGTAATCAGGGAAGGCTTGTCACTCAGCACTTCTTTACCATGGCCCAGAATCTTCATCCTGAACACTCACGCCAACCCTGGAATTCACCCATGGAAGTATTCTCTGTTTCTGTGACCCCTTCTTCTGTTTGGATGGCTTCCTCCTAGAACCTCTATTTAAGGAGGACACACAGGCCAGCCATGTGTCCATTTCTTAAGGCTGTACCCTATTGTATGCCTTCATTCCCCTCAACCTCCTTTTAAGCTTCCTTTTGTGTGTTGTTAGAACACAAGTTCTTTGAAGGCTGGGACTGTTTCTTTTTGCTTGAATTTGTATTCCCAGAGCTTAGCACAGTGGCAGGCACATAGTAAATGCTTAATATATGATTCTTGACTGACTGGCTAAAAGAGGGGGCATTTGAGTTGTTTAAAAGGATGGGTAAGAAGGAATTCATCAGTCCAAGAGTGGAAAGGAGGACCTTCCAGGCAAAGGGAACAGCATGAACCAAATCACTACCACTAGTTCCATCACATAGACCCTGGTGAAGATAGCCCAGGACCATCTGCTTTGCCACTGAACCCTAAGGACCATGGGACATTTCCATTTGACTTGGAGTTGAAACCTCCTATATGTGTCATTTCCCCCACTAGAATGGTAAACAGCTCTTTACCAGTCATTTAAGAGCAAAAATTAGTTTACTTTGTTATTTGTATCCCCATAGGATGCACTAGGCAAATAAATAATTATTAATGAATATATACATTTTAATTAATTCATGAGCAAAGACTTATAGGTAGAAAAGTAGTAGAAATATCTGAAAGACAGTAAGTAAAAAAAAAATTTTTGTACTATAGAAGAGAGGTATGAGGTAAGCAAGAAGCCAGAAGATTAAAGACATTATAAATGATAGATGAGCGAGGGGGAAAAAAGGAGGAGGGAAGCCCTTAAGATGGCTATTGTAAAAGTCCAGACAGCTGGTAACAAGAACCAGTAATAGGTTGGTGGCAGTGAGAATTTGAGAAGAGGGGACAAATTTAAGAGATCTTTTAGGGGTGGAATTTACAGGGCTTATAACTGGTTGGATATGAGAAGAAGAAGAAAGACTTAAAGATAACCTAAAGTTATAAACACAGAAGCCTGAGAAAATGGTGGTGTATTAGAGAGAAACACTGAAAATAGTAGGAGCAGGTTTACAGCAACAAGATGAACTTGATTTGGGATATGATGAAATTTAAGTGTCAGAGGAATACCAAGGTGGAACTATCATGTAAGCTCTTGGAGATATGGGTTTGGAATTCAAAAGAGACTTGAGGGGACAGCTAGGTGGCAGCTAGGTGGTACAGTGGATAGAGCATAGTCCCTGAAGTCAGGAGGACCTAAGTGCAAATCTGGCCTGATATTTACTAGCTGTGTGATCCTTGGCAAATCACTTAAGCCCATTGCCAGAGAGAAAGAGACAGAGAGACAGAGAGATAGAGAGACTTGGGAGTTATCTTTATAGAGGAGGTAACTGAAACCATACGAATGAATGACCAAGAAAGTATAGAAAGAAGGTCAAGGACAAGCTCTGGGGGAAATCAATCAACAAGCATTTATTAAAAGTCTACCGTGTGATGCTGTGCTAACCCATATTAAAGGATCAAAGAGATAACAGGGTAAGTTAGGCAGGGTTTGGAACCTTAGGAATGTAATAGTGGGGGAAGGTGATGAAAGGTTTCTTCATATGTTAAGACAAGACACATAGTTCAATCGTTCATTTTACCAATTAGGAAACAGGGAGGAAATGAGGAAACCAGGGAAGTTAAATGGTTTGCCCAGGCTCACACAAGAAGTAAGTATATAAGAGGAAGGATTTGAATCCTTGTCATCAATCTACACAAAGACAGTACTCTTTCCATTATACCACAATGCTTCAGACTTGGTTCCTTTCCCTATTTAGGACAGTGAACAAAGGACATGTTAATAGAAACAAGATGACATCAACCCATAGGTTGATCAATTACAAAATCAATTACAAGAGAAGTGATATCAACTTGGGGATAAATTCTTCTGGATTGCTTCTTACTGCATATTCAAAAGAGCTTGAGATCTGCTTACCCTAGATTGATCTAGGAAAGGGTACCATCTCTTTTCGTTTTGGCCTATGTTTATTCTTTTTATGGGAGGCATGACAGCTGTCCTAGGAGTCAGAAAGACCTAAGTTCACTTCCAACCTCTGACACACTGCTTCAGTGGCCCTGGGCAAGTCAATTTACCTCTTAGTGCTCAGCCTTGGTCTAAGACTTAAGATTGTAGAGCAAGCACTGATTTATACACCAGTATTATAGGAAGCTTGGTTGAGGAGGTCCCTCACCAGGGAGCTCCTTAAACAACAAAATCACAGGTCCAGATCAAGGAACAAAATAACCAAACAAAAATCCTTTGGGAGGGCAGGAAGCTAAACACTTTGTAATTGTTTGATTGTAAACCTGGCAGAGTTCACCTAATCCTGGACAACAAATGTGCTGCTGTATATCCAGGAATCAGAACAAAGAGAAACCCAGGTGAATCTCACAGGGTGGCTTTGATACTGTGCTTTGATTTGGTACTAACATCATTATTAAGGAAAAAACCCAACTCTGATTTTTTAAACGTAATTTTTATTTCTAAAATATCCCTCACTCTCTCCATCCCAGGTTTGTCCTTTGTAACAAAGAAAAAAAGGAGATAAAAGCAGTTCATCAAATCTAATCAACACATCAGTAGAGTCTGACAGTATGCAATATTCCACCACTACAGATTCTCTCACTTTGGTAAAGATACTAATACCTTATAAATAGCAAGTTTCTGCTGAGCATTAGCTGTGCCTCTATTATTTGAGAAGGGATTTGGGACCGCGGAATTTGAGTACACCCAGAAAGAGCTCTATTTGTGCCAAGTCTCAATGCAAAAGTTTGTATTCATACCCAATCATGAGTAGAACCACCCCATCTTCATCGAGAAGGAAATGGCAAACAGCTCTAGTAAATTTGTCAAGAAAATTCCAAATGGGGTCACGAAGAGTCGGACACGACTGAAACGACTAACAACAAAAAACCCTCCATTGTTCGCTTTTCCTCATCGTCGGTTTCCTACTTTCTTCTTTATCTGCTCAGTAGGGCAGATAAAGACTGGGTAAAGTAGCACAATCACTAGAAAACGAGGTTCACTTTCCCTTTTTACCCTGCCCCTCTTCAATCTGTTACATGAAGATACTTCTCTTCAGCAGTTAAGGATTCCTCTTCCTCTCCCTCCCCTCTTCTAGAATCAAGTTCAGCTCTTGAGTCTACGCTATGGATTACCTATACACTCTTTCCCCTCTCACTCACCTGCTTGAGTTCCCCATGGGATAGACAAACCCCAAGCTCAAAGATGCAGGAAGAGGGGAAGAGAATTTTGCCAGCCTTTCGCCAGTAGCATAGGAACTTCTGAGCTAGCGTCAGGATGCGTCATCATTAGCATTTGGTTGGAGACGTTGCACGAGCGCTTTACAAGATCTAGCCGGTCATTGGTAGATTTTAACTGTGTATCCAATAGAATCCCTGAATCTAGAGACTTCATTAGTTACTAGGTAGAAAACTCATCTAGAAAATTTAAGCAGTGTTATCATGTATCAATGCTGTAGTGTAATTAAGAATGAAAGCTATCAAACACACACGTATGTATAAACAGGGAAAGACGGTTTTTTTTCTTTTTACTGGTCTTGTGATATCATCGATGTAGGTAGCTCCAGATTAGAAACTTCCTCTGCCAGTGCAGATCTGCACTTAAACATTAAATAGTTGCTGGAGGAACTGAGAAGTTAAAATGACTTGGTCATATAAATAGTACCTACCAGAGGCAAGTCTTGAACCAGGTTATTTTTGACTCCCAGGAAAGCTACATAACCATTATCTATCCTGACCTCCAGTTTGCAACTGCTTATTAGACATCTCTAACTGGATATCGCATACAATTACACAAACATGTCCAAAGCTGAACTCATTATCTCCCCCCTCCAAGCCCTTCCCCCATGTCCTTGTATTTCTGTCCAAAGGCACCACCATCCGCTCAGTCAGCTAGGTGTCATGTTCTCTTACACCTGAGTCCTGTCACCCTTGGTAACATTTCTTGCATACAACCTTTTCTCTCTTCTGACACTGTCACTACTCTGGTCCAAGCCCTATAATTTATCTCTGGACTTTTACAATACCCCACTATTTATCTCTCTTCATTCCAATTCATCCTCCAGATAATTATCAAATTGATCTTCCTAAAGTGCAGATCTGACCATGTCACATCCCTTAAACTCCAGTGTCTCCAAGATTGAAATATAAAATTTTCTCTTTGTCTTTTAAAGCCCTTCACATCCTGGTCCTTTTATCTTTCCAATCTTCTCACACTTTGCTATCCTCTAAGTTGGCTGGTTGTTGTCTTTTGTTCTCCAAGAGGACCAAAATGACATCACTATGTTGGGGTTAAAGTACCATGTGTCCTACTGTGGTTTATCAGACCAATATCGAGCTTGGAAGGCTCTACCAGTGGTTGCACACAAATAGTCCATATGAAAATTTGGAGTGGAGATATCTCTAACTTTGCACATCTCATATTTCTCTTCAGCTACTGCAATTCTGCTTTGCTCACAAAGCACAGCATTTTTTTTTTTGATGCAGGCAAGACATGCTAGTCCTTTATGATCCGATGACACTAACCTCTTTGTTGTTCGTCTCATTAAATGCCTAATCTCCCAACTGTAAATTTTTACTGCTCATCTTCTATGCCTGGAATTCCTTCTCTCCTCATCTCTTCCTCTTGGTTTCCTTGGTAAAACTCTTACCTTCTGCAGGAAACTTTTATCTGGTTTGTACATAGTTTTTTGCTTCTTGTTTTTCCCATTTGCTTGTTGTTTTCCCATTAGACTGTGAGCTCCTTCAGAGCAAGGACTGCTCAGCCATTTTCCTTATCTGGGAGGTTGACTAATAAGAACAGCATTTCAGGTGATTAGTACTGTTAACTTTGGGGTCTCGGGAGTTTCAAAGGTCAGGTTTGTTCTAGTGAGATAATGCATTTCTCAGAGGTTAGTCTTATCAGAATATGCTAGTTGGGGCAGGAAATTTCTAAAATAGCAGAGGCCTTCTTCAAGATAGAAATCACTTAGGCTTATCTTGTTGGCGAGGGCCAACCTGAGGGACTCTATTTTCATAACCCTGTAGTTCTGTTTCTTTGATTTCTAAGCTTGCTTTTTTTCTGGGGAGATGTTTCCCCAAAACTTTACCTCTTCCATGCTAGGGATATTAGGAAAGGACAGTGGTGATGAAATGCATTCTTCTCAAGAAGAAACACTTGTGCAAGAGCATGAAAGTCAAGATAGAGATCACTACAAAGAACATAACTTTCAGAACTGGAACAGAAAGTGTGTCATCATCATTATCATCATCATCATCATCATCATCGTCATAGTAATATTTATAAAGTATTTTAAGGTTTGTACTTGTGCCACCTAGCTGCCTAGTGCATGAAAGGGAGTAGTTAGACTGGTGCAATAACAAGACTCACTGTGAGACCTAGGAGTACAGTGCCTCTCTTCTACTAAGGGGTTCCTCTTGACTTTGTACCTACGCACATGTAGGGTCAGTCATGGGACAGTCTAACCTCTAAAAAGAGGAATCAGGCTTTTCTCCAAACCTCTACCCAAGGGGGCCAGAGAGGGAAATCACTTATTGCTTGGGTTTGGCTCATGTCTAGGGTCTCTCCAAACAGCAGAAAAAGAGTAGAAAAGTATCCAATGTATAATGCAAGTCATAGGACAGCTAAATATTTCCTCCACAAAAAAAGAAATTTGTAACAGCGCCTGGTCAAAAATTCCAGTCCTTTTGAACATCTGAGTGGTGCTTGATGCAATCCCTATGTGGTTTTTGGACACACATGACCTATGTTAACCAAAAGTCAGGACTCCACAAGATATTGTGGATCTTATGATTTATCACAAGAGAAAGGCACATGCATGTGGGAATTCCTTATACCAAGGAAGGAGCCTGTGATATAGGTAGAAACTTGAATATTTATGGGTTACAAAAAAAGGAGGAGTCTCATGGAAGGAGTGGAGGGCAATCCTCTCCCAAATAGGAGTGGCATGGAGGAGGAATGGAAATATAGGGGAGGGAAAAAGGACCAGTCCCCTTCTGAAAGGGAGGAGAAAGGCTGAGAAAGGGAAATAGGTCTATATCTATGATTCTAGGATCTGTACCAGCTATGCTAGTGGAGAAAAAAGGATCAACATGGAGGCAGGACTAGACAACTGATTGGATATGGGATTTGAGGGGAAAGAAACAAACACTGAATTCCTGTTTGCAGCATGAAATTCATAAAATTATGTTTTGTGAGAATGAAAGCGGTTACTTTTCATCTATAAGCTTTGAGATCACTAATTGAATGGGGAGTCTGGGACCAAAATCCTTGGGAGAAAGACACCAATAGGCATATTCTCATTTCACCTGGAGTTTGTCTGCTCTTGGGAAAGAAACCAATCAGCATTACTGTTAAACTGCTCTGTTAGCAATGGTGTTTGAGATCCTCTATCTTTGGTGTTGGAGAAAGGTCAAAGGAAAAGTAAGCATATTAACTATCCTTTTTTATTTGTAGTAAATAATAGGTTAAAAACCAGAAAACTGTTCCTAAGGAATTCTGGGTACTGTCATTTCATTCAGTAAGCAGTTCAAAGCCGTGTTACCATTGTCATGAACGCTTTGAAGAGTGAGAGTAATCTCAGAATTAGTCAGAAGCCACCACATGGACGAATTCAGAATCAGTCTTAGAATCAATTTGTTTAATGTCTGTATGACCCAAGACAGGTAAAGGGGAAATTGTATGTGTATGTGTGTGCGTGAGAGAGAGAGAGTCATGGGGGGAGTGTGTGTGGCCATAAGTGGCTTTCACTTTGGACTCACATACAGCTCGACTTTCTACTGGGGCAGACAGAATCCAATGAGGGAAATAGAATTTTCTCACATTTTCTGCTCGATAGGATGAGACACCACTGATCCAGAGCATACTCGCTGATAGGCTTGGAACCCAGAGAGAGGAAATCAATAAGGAGATGAGCCACTAGTGTCCAGGGGCAGGGCTCGATGTGGTTGTTATGGAGTGCAACTCAAGAGTCCTGCATCACGTCTTTATAGCTCCCAAGTGCTATTGAACTGAAATGAAAGGTTATGAAGATCGGGCTATACATTTGGCATATACTTCAGCTGGAAGGTACTTATAGGCTCATGTATAGGGCAGAGATCACTGGGGAGAAAGGATCCCATCCCTGGCAGAATTCCCACCTCCTGATGGAAATGATCTGTTTTCTGTGGTAGCATCTGTGATTGTCAGAGGAGACTCTATGAGAAGTACATCCAGAACCCCATCCTCAAGCAAGGAAGTTGGGCTGGATTTCCACAGCAGGTTAGTTTTTTCCTACATTCAGAAATATAACTATTGTAATGGAAAGTAAGTGAGTCCATTCCAATCTAGATCTTTAGGATGAACAGAGGTATGGAGCTGACAGTTGGAGCTCCTTCCTTTTAGAGAGTAGCTTTGATGTTCCCCAGAATGGGATAGGCTGAAGTTTTATGTGCCTTATGTTTAATCACTGAATGTGACCATTCCATTCCAGATCCTTTCTTCTAGAGGGCCCAGCTGTGGAGGGTGTGATCCTGCTTATTCTGGGACTTATTCTTGCTGGAGATATTTATTTCACCTGGAAACAACATGAGGAAAAAGAGATGTTCTTTAGAGAAGAAGAGAATGAATGATTTAAAAAGAATATTGATTATGTGGGAAAAGGTAAAAAGCAAAGTGCAAGAACTATTGAAATGGAGGGGAGTAGAGAGGGGACAGTGACAGAATCTAACACTATATTTCCAACTGTTAGTTAAGGAATGAAACCTCCCATCCAATATTGGTTCCTACTCTACCCCCAAACCAATCTTGACTTTCACTTCCCAGACAGAACTGTCTTCACGTATCTGTCTTTTTATGTTTCTTTTTTGGAGAAACTCCAGGAAAAGCTCAGTAAATTCTGGCTCTTTTAGCTAACCAGGAATATGTGTGCTTCTCAGCTGCTTGTGATGACTCATATCTTTGTTCTGTTAACAGAATGGAGAAAGAGTCAGTAATAGCTAGTGAGGGATTCTGATGCATTCTTTGAGACTGAAATAGATTCTTTTGTCAGGTGTGTCAAAATACAAGATATATATACATATTTTTTTTTTTAGGAAAAACTTTCTTCCTAATGCATAGGTATGCACATGACTTTCTGACACAAGCTTCTTCAATTGTTTTTCATTACCTAAGAAAGTCTTAACATTTGAGACCTTCAACCACTGATGTGCTGAAGGGCAAAAGAGACTCTTTTGGAATGAACCTGAGTCTGGGAGAAAAACATTCCTAGAGTCACCCTGAAGGAAGATTACAGAATAACTCCAAAAGGCTTATCTGCCTCTTTCAGCTCCACA